AGTTGCAAGTCTTCCTGTTTTTACTATTCCTTGCAATCTATCTTTTTACTCTAATAGGAAATTTAGTACTCATTGTATTGGTCATTGTTGATTCCAGGCTCCACAAACCCATGTACTATTTTCTGAGTGTATTGTCAGTCTTGGATGCCTGTCATTCTACTGTTGTCACGCCAAAAATGTTAACCAATTTCATGGCAGCAAATAAATCCATTTCATTTCTTCAAATGTGCAACACAGATGTTTCTCTTTGTTACTTTAGGAACCACAGAATGCTTTCTCTTGGCTGCAATGGCTTATGATCGCTATGTGGCCATCTACAACCCACTTCTGTATTCAGTGAGCATGTCACCCAGAGTCTATGTGCCACTCATCATTGCTTCCTATGTTGGTGGCATTTTAAATGCTACTATACACACAGTGGCCACATTCAGCCTGTCCTTCTGTGGATCCAATGAAGTTAGACATTTCTTTTGTGATATCCCTCCTCTCCTCGATATTTCTTGCTCTTCCACTCACACAAACCAGCTTCTACTCTTTTACTTTGTTGGCTCCATTGAGATAGTCACTATCTTGATTGTCCTGGTCTCCTATGGTTTCATTCTGGTGGCCATTCTGAAGATGCACTCTGCTGAAGGGAGGCAAAAAATCTTCTCTACATTCGGTTCTCACCTAACTGGAGTGACAATTTATCATGGGACAGTCCTCTTCATGTATGTGAGACCAAGTTCCAGCTATGCTTTGGAGCATGACATGAGAGTTTCGATTTTTTACACCATTGTGGTTCCCATGCTGAATCCCATCATCTACAGTTTGAGGAACAAAGATGTAAAAGAGGCAATGAAAAGATGGTTTGTGTGAAGTTGGTTTTAAAGAAAGTGTGTTTTCAACATTGAGTAAAGATGAAGATATAATCAGAGGAGAGGGTCTGGGGAGGTCAAGTACCAGATGTGACCCTTTCCTTTACTAAGTTCTTGACTGCAATATGTTATTGGCGATATTGCTCTGTCCAAATGTATGTAACCATGTGGCTTGGGTGTATATCTTTTGCATGTCTTGTTTTACTTGCCCAATGACAATAAGGTAGGAACAGCAAGTTTTATTACTGATTGTACAGACTCCCCACTGCATAGCTAGAAAATTGTCTAGGGCCAGGCAACTGTCTAAGAACAATGCCAGCTAGGTAGTCAATGGATGCTTGAAGTTTTTGCATAGTATGTCCTGTTTGTGTTAACTCAGCTACAGTGTTACTCAAATTCCCTAAGGTTGAATTCATGATATGAGAATCCTTCCCAGGGAACAGCTAATCCAATAGCTGCTGCAGTACCTGCTAACATTAGGCCAACATCTCATTTTTTTTTNTAATTTCCATTTATGTATTCATATACTTAAAATTAATTATGAGGGGAAACTATGCTGAGGAGAAACAAAACAAAATTCAGAGACTCTGAACACCATAAAGAGAATCTGAGCCATAAAAGGGATAAAATAGGATGTTGTTGTGCATTTGGACTAGTTTCAGAGGGGGTATATGATGAGGGGACACCAGAACCAATATCTAATTGGTGTAAAATAACACCAAGAATTCTTTTCAGCCGTCTACTTTTAAAGATGCAGACAACAATGATTAATTCTGTTACATGAAAAATCAATTCACCCCTTATGGGTGAATCAATTTCTGAACTCTATTCCCCTCCTTTGATCGAGGTGTCTATCTTTTATCAATATCATACTCTCTTGATTATTTTAGCTCTATGGTAAATCCTGAAATAAGGTTGTGTAGATAACGTGAATATTTCAAATTTATTGTTCTTTTTCAAAGTTGGTTAGCTGTTTTAGTTGCTTTGCTTTTCATATAAATTGTACAAGTTATTTGTCAATTTCTGCAGAAAATATTTTAATTTTAATAGGAAAAGCATTGAATCCATAGATTAATTTAGGATTGCATTTAATTAATAGATTGATAGCTCAAATTGGGCTGCCAGCCAGTATCATCTTTATTCCAATTTATTTTTGTTGTTGTAGCTGTTGTTTACATTCTTTATATACAAACTTATAAACTCTGGGCATAAAGCTAGCTGTCCATCTATTTTCTCCAATTTTCTCAAAAGTTTCTTATGTACATAGCCAGGTGACAGTCTATAGCTTAGTACATGGGATTCTTAAGTCAAGATAAGATCC